ATACCCTGAAGAGGTGAACTACATATTTTTACACCTTTCTTCTTTTATTTAATTTCAATATACACATGATTATAACTTGGAATAGTTGCAAAAAGGTAAAATATTAATGGGAAAAGTTTATATGGAGCTAAGGCTGTAAGCAATCAAATTAAAGCCGACCTAAAAAATTTCACTATAAGAGGATGTTTTGATGTCCAAATATCATCAAATTGATCATCTCGACGTCAAGATGCCATGAGAAGAAAATGGATTTCAAGTTTTGGAAATAATGCATCTTGTAACACATTTTTAGACCGTCAATATTTAAGATTTTCAAGTTTTCATAGACCAACTCAAAATACACCATTTTTTAAGCTTTAAAATTTATAACTAACGATGAAAATATATTTTAAAGCTATCACAAAGATTTCAAGTATTGAAGCCACATTTCTCGACACTATATGAAGGTGCGCTTTACTTTGATTGTTTAGAGCATCGGCTTTATACAAATCTCATCCAATATTAAATAGTTGATATGTATGTGTTAGGTGTATTTTGATAAATTGATGTGTTTATAATTGTTATATGCTTTTGTAGAACATGGCCACGCTGATTCACTATTATTTGGAAAACTTTATAAAGATATTTTCAAGATAACTGATCTTGTTCAATTAATGCCTTTTCAAACCCAGCCATTGTTGGTTGCCAAAGTCCAAAATCCAGAGAAAATAGTTAGTACAAGGCTTTGGCTCTTTTTACGAAAAAAAGAAATAGTTGGTTGCACCTCAAATTCACTTGAAATTGTAGTTGGCATGTTTAAAAGGTTTTGGATCACATGATCTAGACTTTATGAATCCGATAAAGGTAGGTTTCAAGACCTAAAAATAACATACGTTAGTTATACTATCTACTATATTATTAATGGAGATTATCTAGACAATCTATGTTAAAGTGCTGAAAAATCACTTAGATCTGCATTTTGAGCTAGGGTTTTTTGTGCCAAAATTGCATTTTATAATGGGTTCTTGAGTGCTGGTTTGCTTTTTATAGTATAGTGCACCCATTTTAAAAAACTGGATCGTAGACTTATGGATCTATCTCTACTACTGAGTGACTAGGTGTCTTGATTTCCCATTCGTGAAACAGATACACTTGCATATCAAACCTGAGAAGTAAAACTCTAAAAAGTACTGAATTTTTAAAATATCTTTGCAAATTTCAACTCTTCAAAACAAATTTGAAAAAAACATAATAAATTTGCAAATGTCAAGAAGAAGTTGCCCTAAATTTACAATTTGGACTCCCAGTTGGCTGAAACAATAAAATATCTCCCTAATTTTCCTCCTTTTGCCAAGATACTGACCAATTCCCAATTTTTGGGGTAAACGCAATGGACGGTGCACTAGGCACAATCACGAGTTCAGATACAATTAAATCTGGAACTTCCACTAAAAAATATCTCCTCCTATGTACCATACCGTCTACTATTGTTCTCGCTGGTTCGGCCGGTGTTTAGACCCTCGACCATGACCATGGCCTTCACTTATTTTAAAGTTTCAAAACCCGACAATCAGGATTGGAAAAACCTAAGAGTAGTTGGAACAAAACCAGTTCCAACAAAGTCTCAGTATTGGCTTGCTTCCCCTGAAACACTGTCTTTCATATTTTATCTAATTTGTTTTTAGGTCCCCCTAAATCTCTTTCCATAAATCCCTATTTTAATTCTACTTTATTTATTTTATAATATTTTTTAGACCATCAATTCGAACCAATTTAGAGTGGCGATCCAATTATGTAACATGAATCCATAAGGTGGACAACCCATCCTACAGATATGGGTTTTGAAACATATGTTAGTTTAGTCTAAAGCAAAAACTAGATTTTGTTGACTCATAACCAATATAGTAGGTTTTGATCGATCATACCGGCCAGTATTGACCGATCAAACCACTTAAACAAAGTTGGACAAATTTTTGGAGTATATTTTAAGGAAATTATCTCTAATATTCTTTAATTTTAACAAAATTAAAAAAAAAAAACTCAAACTTCTCAAAACCTCACTCACACTCTTTTTCCCAATTTTTATAATTTTTTTGACGAAAATTTTTTTTACAGTAGTCTTTCTACCATAAAGGCATTGATAGAATTACGAAACTCGAAATACCGTAATACCTTGAAAATATAATACGGTACTTATAGTACCATAATGCCAATAACTTCAATTAGCATTATGATACTTTAAGTACCATAAAACCATGAAAACCACTTATGGTACTTTAAGTACATTAAAAGCTAAAAAAACTATGAAAGCCACTTACGGTACTTTAAATACCATAAAAATTAAAACTCATTTTACCACCATAAAAACTAACCCATGTTATACCACAACATTTTCTTCTTATTATATTTATCTCTTTCATCTCTATTTTTTTTTGTTTACTTCTTATTTCTCTCTCATTTTTTTAATATTCATCTTTTCCTTCTAACTAATTTTTTTTATCTTTTCTTTCTCTCTCTAAATCTTTTCTCTCCCTAACCTAATTTTCTTTATCTCTTCTTCCTCTCTCTCAATCTTTTCTCTCCCTAACTGAGATATTTGGCCGTGTCCAAATTGGCTTGTAGAATAAGATTGTAGAGAAAAAAATAAGAGATAAAAAAAATGAGAGATAAATATGAAAAAGAATTAAAGAGATAATTAATTGATAAGGAATTAGAGATGAAATAGATAAATATAAATCGAATGGGAAAAGGGTTTACGGCATTTTAAATGGCGTAAACGCTTTTACTATTTCTCTATTTCATCTCTAATTTCTTTGATGTTGATCTATTCTTTCTATCACTATGAAAAAAGGATTTATGGTATTTAAACATAGAGATAGAAAGAATAGATCAACCTAAAAGAAATTAGAAATAAAATAAGTAAATATAAAAAGGGTTTATCCCATTTAAAATGATGTAAACCATTTTTCTTACTTATCTATTTCATCTCTAATTCTTATCAATTATTTCTTTCTCTAATTCTTTTTCATATTTATCTTTTCTTTCTCTCTCATTCTATTTTATCTCAGGGAGAGAAAAGATTTAGAGAGAGAAAGAAGAGATAAAAAAAAGAGAAATGATCATCTCTCACCCATGTGTACAGGACCCCAAAAGATCATTGGTATGAATCTCTAGAAAAGCCAAGTCCTACACCAATGTGATAACTTTTCTAGTTGGTACGAATATTTAGAAAAGTCAAGTCCTACACCAATGTGATAACGTTTTTAGTTGGTATGAATCTCTAGAAAAGTCATGTATCACACCAATATGATAACTTTTTTAGATATATGTACCAACTTTAATTGTGATCCTTTGAGATCCTACACATGGGTGGTGGAGGGTCCTATAGGATCATTACTCAAAAAAAAATTAGAGAGAAAGAAGAGATAAATATTAAATAGAATGAGACAGAAATAAGAAATAAACATACAAAAAAATAGAGATGAAAGATATAAATATAATAAAGAGAAAAGGTTTTATGGCATTTGAAGTGTCGTATAACATTGGTTAGTTTTTACGGTAGTAAAATGAGTTTTAGTTTTTACAGTACTTAAAGTACCGTAATGCTAATTAAAGTTATTACGGTCTTTTAAATACCATATAATATGATACATATTAAAAAGTTACGGTACTCTAAGTACCATAATATGTTTTCAAGGTATTACGGTACTCGAATTATTGCAATTCTATCAATACCTTTACAATAAAAAGACTACCGTAAATAGTATTTTTGTTAAAAAAATCACAAAAATTGAGAAAAATAATATGGGTGAGGCTTTGAGAAATTTGGAGTTTTTTTTCCAATTTTGTTAACACTAAAGTATACTAGCGATAATTTCCCTATATTTTAAAGGGTATTAAATAAGATGCCCATATTATAACCTACAAGCAAGGCCCTTGTATTAATTTTGTTGGAAAATGTAGAGGCATGGAAACCTTACAAAGGCTTGAAAATGCATGTTCAATATTAATTCAGAAACTTGAAATTTCAAAAATAGGTTAGATCGGATAAATCTACGAACATTTGAAAATCATAAATATGACAGTCTAGATAACTTTGTTAGATGATACACTATTTTTAAGACTTGAATTTTTTTTTTCTTATATCCATACGTCTTGAAGTCAAGATGATCAATTGAAACATTTTCGAACTTCATAATATTTGGTTGATTTTTAAGTTTCACTTTACTTCTATAATAAAAACATTTGGTCGATTTTTTAGATTCACTTTACTTCTATAATAAAATCTTACAATCTCAACTTTTTTCTATTTTAAAGTTCTCCGCTATAATCTTTATTTTTATTTTTAAATTTTTTTCACCTCAAAACTAACCAAAATTGAAGTTCTAGCATCGCAAAACCTTCAAGTCGTCCATTTCAGCCTCAACTGTTATGGTTATAAAAACAAAGAAAAAAACTTACGATATCAAACCTCAAAAATAAATTATATTATAAAGAATTGTTGAGACCGTCAATTTCACCGTAAAAAGAAGTATTTATACATCCACAAGATATGTACCATTTTTTGAGCTTAAATTGTAATAAAAATTTGTTTTAAAGCCGCCATGGATATTTCCGGTGGCCACAGTGCTTTCCGGTCGAGGATTCAGTGCGAGGGTTTGGCCTGATGGAAACTTTTATCTTTTTTTTTAATTTATATCCTACGTTACATCAAATAATTGTACGGGTATTGACTGTCCAAACCGCCCAAGGTTAATGGCCGGTTCCACTGCTTTTTGGCCCATCTCTATCCAACACATTGAAGCCAATGAAATTAGGTTTCTGTGATTTTCTACGGATAGGCCACATCCATGGCGAACCTGATACTAAAATTCAAAAACCAGCAAAGACCAAGCTTTTAAGAATGAGCAAAATTCCTGGACCAAGCCGAAAGCTTAAAGAACTTTCTATCAAGAATCTCAAGCAAAAAAAAGAAAAAGAAGCGAGAGTATCAAATATGGATAGAGCGTGGTAGACATAGAGAGAGAAAACAAGAAATTCTGCTAGATTACTGTTAACTCGGAACGGGAATCAGAGCATACATGAATATACATAAACATGATTAATCCAGAAAACAAAAAGGGCGAAAAAAAACCCCATCAAATTACATGAAACCACGCTCCAGAACAAGGATCTTCGGGCCTCTGGTTTCTCTCAGAAAGAAGGCACAATTCCATAACTAGTGTCCGCCATTAGAGCAGCGGCTGAGGAGTAGATCCGATCGACTTCGACCTCGATATCTGTTCTCTTCGCGAAACGCCCTTTGATTCTCGGCCTCGTCTCTGCGTAGGCCTTGCGCGAGGCATAGCGGATCGTCTTCTCGAACTTCCGATTCTTTCTCTTCTCTCTGTATCTCAGAACCCTGGCTTCTCTGTCCATGGGAGGATAATGAGACGATGGCTGAGATGGGACATGAGCCACTAGATCTTGCCCTCCTTTCAGAGTTCGACTGTAAGGGTTCGAGATATCAGTCATGGCGCTGCCATCTGGTACAACGCCTACATCGAGAGACGAAGAAGAAACCTGCAAAATTCAACAAGAGATCGAAAATTTAATGACTTGCAATCTATCAGAAAAACTTAAGCACTAGCACGTGGTTGTTCAGAACACAAGAGAAGTTTTAAGGAATTAGGATTAACAAAAAGAGAATGCTACTGAGTAATTTTGGAAAGGTTGTGGTTTTGGAGCTTGGATTACGTCTTAACAGTCATCAGACTACAAGAAAATTCGATGTTGCACAGAGGCATAATCAAGAGAGAGAGAACTATATGTGTAATGGAAAGGCCCCATCCAACAAGAATTACAGACGGAGTCACAGACCCTGAAGAGAGAAGCAAGCAAACCGAACTTCTGGAGAGTTCTAGAGAGAGAGAACTTGATCCAAACATTTGCGCTACAAAAAGTGAAACTCCCTAACTGAACTCACAGCCTCTCAACTCCCTGTAAATTCACATGACTCCCAAACTAGCTAAACCCTTGGAATAACTCAAGCGGTAAACAGAGGAAAGAAGGCGAGATCTGGACTCAGAGAGCTCAAAAATCCCCAAAAACTACACAGAGCCCAGCACTTACGCTATGGCTCATTGAAGCCGTGGTGTAGCTGTATCCATTCTTTGGCCTCGAGAAATCGAACTCCAGGCACTGATCATTTCCCATCCCTTTGCTCTGCACAGGCACCACACTATCCGTCCCATTGTGCGCCTGAAACCTCTGATCCACGGGCGAGCCATACTCCAAATCGAGGTAAGGATCGACCTCTGGAAAGAAATAATCCGCTGATTTCATCTCTCCACCGCCAATCTTAGGGTTCGGGAGAAGCCATGTCGCTGCCTCGGCCTCGTCGGCACCGATGGAGTTGTGGTCGTCGTCCTCGTCCTCGTCGTCCAGTTTCGCATTCTCGGTCGTCTTGGGCCCGCGGTCGGGGACGAGGAGGCACGAGGCGGAGGACTTCGGCGCCGGCGGCTCGTAGAAGGGCACCACGGGGAAGCGCTCGTGCCTGCGCGCGAGAGGGTTGGCGGAGTGGATATCGGCGTCGCAGGCGACGCACAGCGCGGCGGCATCCGCCTTGCAGGTGACACTGGCTGGGGCCTGCTCGCAGACCTCGCACACCCACACGCGCTCGTGCCGCGAAGCCAGTTTGTTCGCGCCGTGGACGCGGGCGTCGCAGCCGAGGCAGAGGAAGGCCGAGTCGGCGCGGCAGAACAGCAGCGCAGCCGTGGCCTTGCACCCCTCACATGCCTTGGCGACGGACCACGGAGCGGAAGGGGGGGCTTCGTGGCCGGGGAACTGTGCAGCAAAGGGCGCTGAGAAGGCGTCTCCGCTGCCTCGTGGCTCGGAATCAGGCTTGGTGGTGGCGGAGACGTTGGCGGTGGACATGGTGAGTGGTGGTAGTGAGGCTGCGGTGGTTTCTTCGTTCTTCACTGCTGGAATGCAACGTTATCATGTGAAGGAACGGCTGGCAACTAGGGGGAGGACACGTGGGAGCCGGGTGGCCACTTTAAATAGGGGCCGATGAATTTCCTCACTCCAAAATAGTAAGAGCGGACAAAGGTCCTAAATGCCCATGCCTTTTTAGTGATTGACAGTGCCCCCAAGGACTTCTCAAAAGGTAAGACTCACTTACGCCAAACCATTTTATACTCCCTACACATTCTACTCCCCATGGTAATAAAACTTTTATCTTGGAGTAATTTTAGCACCCCACCCAAATTTTGGAAATGGAACCTCTCGAACATTGTAGAATTACCTCAACAACAATATTTTGTAAATTGCATTATTTATATATTTGAAAAAATAATTAAATATTCGATAGAGATAATCTAATATTTGGAAGGTGAAATTGAAGTGTTAGAAAACTCAATATTCAAATTTCCATTTTATGGTTCTTAGGTAGTTCTCAAAAAAATTTAGATTAAAAATGAATATCCCCCGAGTAGGTCTTTTAAAGGGTAGATGGACATTATGCTCCAATGAGAACATAGCATAGGAGCTCCATATTTTATTGGAAACCTAGATTCACTATCTTGACTCTCATTTAGCTCTATTTAAGGTAGTATAGGATTATACCATGAGCTCCCTTCAATATTGATTCTTATCTACAAAATTGAATTTTATAAAGAAAAAGTTTATATTAAGTATCAATTTTATATTTTTGAAGTAAGGTGTACTTAAAAACTCATCGAAAAATTGAATTTTGATTATAGAAAACCCTCGAATTGAGCATCTCGACCTCAAGATCTACTGATATAAAAAATAATAACCCAAATCATTAGGATAATACATCTTGTAATGCATTACTTGTATGGCCCATTCTCAAAATTTTCAATTCTTCATTACTAATTTTGAGCTTTAAATTTTATAATTAAGGGCAGCAATATTTCATGCTATGACAAGGCTTTTCGATATTGAAATTACATCTTTTAACATGGTTTAAGGGTGCGTCTTACCTTGAATGTTTACCATTATATCTTATACAGACCACAACCGTTTTGTGATGGATAGAGGAGATTTTTAAAGACTTAGAAAATTCAAATTTGCTTTTGAGTGGATAGAGATTCCGTCATTTTAAACCCTTGCAAATTTCGCATTTGCCTTTGGAATAAAACTTTGCTTTTGAACGGATGGAGACCAATGACCATTTTAAACGCTTGCAACATTCATATTTGCCTTGGGATAAGGAATTGGAGCTATCAAGTGGAGTAACTTTGGCTTCTATATGGTTCATCAAAATAAACGACCCATATCACTCATTTAAAAAAAAATGCCAGGTCGGCATGGGATCGCTTGGTCCAATTTGGGAATCGGTCACATTGTTTCGGTTCTACGTATATATAGGAAAATGATCGAGTTTAGAAATGCACCAGCGATTCTTCAAATAAAACGGCGATCCGGATCCATTTTTGGCCTCTTCACCATCTTTTCACTTGTTTTTTTGTCGATTCACTGTGTTTTCTGCATAGTAAAATGGTGATCCAGACCGTTCATTCACCAATCCGAATCGATTTTTGGGTGACTAATCCTAGTCACCGATCTGTTTTTAAAATTATTGCTCCAAATCAAACGTAGAGAGAGAACTTTGATAAACCATTTTTAACAACTCTAGATCAATATTTTCAAGTTTCTTGGTTTTCGGGATAAGTGATTTGCAGATTTTTAGATCCCCATTTAAATGAAAGTGCAATTTGTTAAGTGTCAAGAAAATAAAAATCACAAATCACAAAAAAGAAAGTTCCACCAAGCACAATCACAACACAAGATTTAACATGGAAAACCCTGCAACGTGAAGGGAAAAACCACGGGGAAAATCCGATAGAGAAATTCACTAAAATTAAATGAGAGTTACAATATAGTTTCTTCTCAAATTTTTGCCCAAAATTTGAGGCTTATAATTAAATGAAAGAACAACAATAATTTGGATAAAATACAAAGTTACTTCACAAGCACCAACAAGGTCATATCTTTCCCACCTTAAAAAGCCCAAAAAAAAAAATGGTCTTCCAATGGCTTGGAGATGCAACCGGAGAGCACACCAACTGTTTCGGTTTTCCAACCGAGTGTTAAGTGTGAGAGATGGCAAAAATAGCCTCCGCTATGGTTTAAAACGGTAATGGAAACCTCGCTACAAACCTGCACTTTCTTCACTCCAATAGCTTTCAAAGAACTCTATCTTTGCTGGCAAATGTAGTCTCCAAAAAAAAAACCTTTTTGTTTTTGTCTTTTAAAACACTTTCTATGTTATCTCTCTAAAAACCTCTCTCTCTCTCTCATCTTTTTTTTGGTGGTTTTTTTTTTTCTTTCACTTCTTATGGGGTTGGACCCCACAAGGTAATCACCTCAATATGAGGGACACCCTATTTTTAAAGAAAAATAATATTAAGAAGTTAAATTATTTTTTAATTTTTCCCCTCAACATATACATTCAATAATGCCCAAATTGCTCTTGTTTCGGTTGAACAACATTTCCAATAACCTAATCATTTGACTAAAGCGTCTTAGGTTCATGAAATTATTGAAATGTCCATCCTATTTCAGGGTTCCCACCTAAAAAGGCAACATGAGAATTTACGGAAACATGTGTTGAGGAGTTACATCATTAAAATGAAAATTAGAAAGCAATTCTTTGAACGTTAATTAGAATTTTTTGACCTAGTCGTTGATTTTGTTAAGTGTTATGACAAGTGCTTTAAAACCCTGATCATCTGAGTGAACCAACCATCCAGAAATCCAATTCAGATTGGCAAATCGGATTGATTTTTAGTTGTGAGAATCAATTAAAAAAAACAGAAAACAGATAAAATAATAAAACAATGTAATATGTGGGAAACAAGTGATTTTGCCAATCTAGACTGCTCAGCTCCCTGACAAACTTGTTGGGTGAGTCCGAGGGAATCGGACTGATTATTGATTCCGACAAGTAACCAGACATCACGGATTCCATATCCAATCCCTTATTTTCAAAAAGTGGTTTTAAGTCATATATCAATTACCAACAACCTATTTTTTACATCAGACCATTGGGAAGACCCGGAAGATTGTGAAATTCAAATCTTGCAAATTTTCAACATATGTAGTTCCGGTGTCAAAAAATTTATGGTAACTTGAGAATCTATTCCCATTCGAAATTTAAAATCCAAAAATGATTCATATCACAAATCTATAAACACTTGAAAATTTTGAAAATAGGTGGTTCAGATTAGATGTATTATATTAGAACTCGAGATTCTTTTTTCCTTTGTATCCATACATTTCGAAGTTAAAATGATCAATTAGAGGTTTTTCCAACATCCGAAGATTCTCTTCTCTCTTCTAGAAGCACCTTACTTCAATAGTATGAGGTGACCACCCTATTCATTGCATAAAACTTTTTCCAAGCCTAAATTCTTATACAAGGTGTTACTCTTGAACGTGACACCCTCCTCAACCATTGTATTTGCTTTCAGATATTTCTAGAACTCTCCTCACCCATCAATATCACACACCAACCGTCCAGTTTCTACATCGACTATCTACAAGCCGTAGAACATTTTGACTTTCAAATCTTGTTTTTTGACAAGAGTAAAATTTTGACAATTCAAATCTTGCAAACCTTAAATTGTTGCACGTAGATATTGGAATCCTACAATATACATAAATGCAAAAAGTTTGTAGGAAAATAAAGCTATGCTAGAACTTGGGTTTCAAACAAATTGTGATGGGCCTCTCAATCATCCAATGTTCACGCAGATGGTTAAGGATTGAAGCCCAATATTTCTCATCAAAACATTGGCAGAGGAATGATGAGATGAAACCCCTCATTCACTGGGCGTTGATTGTTAAAATCAAGCGGTTGACAATCTATCAATAATGTGTTTCAAACCCAAATGCTAACGGTGTCTCTTTACTTGTTATAGGAATCAAATTCAAGATGTCATAGCTCCACCACCCTAACTACCTTGCATTGGCCCTCATATAACATCCCGCAGAGTTTATCATATAGGAACGTACCCAGCTCCATTTTGCATGAAATGAAATATTCCAACTGTCAAATGTGCAGATTAAATGGTTGGAGTCATTTAGTAATGAACTCAGAGCTTATAATTTTTTTGAATATGGCAGGTAAGTTTACTTTTTTTTTGTTAAGAGTATCATTTTTTATTTATTATTTGTTACAGTAAAATAGTTCAGATAAAGCTCGAATGACATTAATGATGATGATTTATTAATAAAAAAAATTTAAAACATTTTCTTACTCAGATTCACCCGCATGTAAAATCCAACTCCTTAGATATGCATAATGGATGTCTTTTGTGGCATATCAATATGGGAGCTTCCGGACCAAACTACTTTTAAGAGGGTACGCGTCGCACCCCATTCCCACCTACAACGTTATATATATATATATAAAGTTATCTAATATTTTTTTAGATCCTCTCTAAATTATATTTCATAAATATTTATTTTAATATTTTATTTTATTTATTTTTAATAATTTTTAATAATCTATTCAAACCCATCCAACCCTGATCTAGACGAACGATCGAACACGAATATTTGTATGTACAATGTGCCCATCGCTGGGTGTATCACATGGGTAAAAGGGTTTCTACAAGTCAGTATGTACACGTGCAGCCCCCTCTAAACTCCACCTCATCCGAGTTCTTCCACTTTGTGGTTTTGATTAGAGAACAACGTTCATAGGAACCGGTTCTTGGCCTGAATCCAATTCTAGATTCGGAACTACGAATTCCCGACGATTACGTAATTCGCGGTATCGATATTTAATTCTTTGCAATCCAAGATAAAAGTTTTAGGGTAGCGAAATATACCATTCTTTGTTGTTTGCATGGCTAAACAAGTTTATGAGATCCTCCTATATTGTAAAACCTTTAGGTTGTGTTTGGATGTCTAAATAATTCAAACAAGATAAAGAGTTATTTAGAGGGAAAATTTCACTTAAATCTGCAAACTATTGAGGTGATCAAAGGAACCCATTTATCTTTAATGCTTATTTTTAAAATTATATTATACTTAGCTACCTCATCAAAAAACATCTTAAAAGTTTCTCAATTACTTTTTTCAAGAATAAGAACCTTGAACAACTATAGA